TGAGTAGGTTCACTACGACCCTGTCTATTTATATCATTTGCAGATTTTTGTTTGTTAAAGACATGTAAATACTTTCATTTGCTTTCTCTGATATAATTGAAATTGAACTTATTTATTAATTCCGGAACCGCGAGAGTCACTTTATAAAATCATGATGTACACGTGCTTCATAACTATGCGCACATGATAAAGCTATGGCGCGCTTATTTTGAATGGGGCAAATTGGGCGATATCATTTTTTCACAAAAGGGGTGGTCAAAATTTACCACGTTTCTCATCAACATTTCATTGATATTTGATGTTCAAGAAAATATATATGTACATCGATATCATGCGTAAAGTTTGTTAAAATGAAGAAGAATACAAAAAGGAAGACATATATATATATATATATATATATATATATATAGGCTTAACATGGACCCTATACTGGTCTAAATTATCCCTTCGATTTCGACTGAACCTTTCACAAAAAAAAGATATCTGAATTATTCATAAGTGGGTGTGGCAACCGTACGCTTCAGCAACAAAGCAATTTTAATAAATATATAGGCCTAGTAATGTTTAAAGTAATACAGCAGATGATACTAGCCGCAGATTCTCCTGAGCTTCTTTCCTTCTAAGATACCCGATCATGAATCTGATGTGTATTTAGATATTTTGGCGGCGAACTAAGCTCATTTCTGTTTACCTTGTATAAGCATACTAGTAACTCACAACTCATTCATTCATTTATTCGTGTTTATTTACTGACGTTTTTAAGTGATGAAATAATTTGTGTTTGCTGCTGGGCACTAGTCATTGCGTTGGATCTGATCGATGCAAACTGCCTATTCCACGATTGCCTACTTATTTTTAATACGAAATTATTGAGGTAAATGAACTTTTCCCCTTATCAGGTTCGTTTAAAATTGACGGCTCAGATCTCTGCAGTGTCAAGAAACAAGTTTAACGATTTAACTCCCATGAGGTTTTTGCGCCTTTTCGATTGCCAGTGAAATTCAGATAGAAATCAAATTGATTTCATATATACGTCATATTTGGCTGAACGGTTTCCGCATGTCTTTGACTTTGAGGTGTCTTTCAGGATCGAGAAACTCATTTTCAGTATAAAAGTAATGTTAGGACCGAGGCGAAACCAGACAGGACTGGCACAGGTCCAACAATTATTCTGAACTACAAGACAAGAAGAAGAAAAGGAGAAGGACGAGAAGAAGAAGAAAGTAAAAAGATAAGGAGAAAAGGATTTTTGTTTAAGGAAGAGAAAGAAAAGAAAGGGAAGGAGAAAAAGAATTGTGAAGAAGAAGTAGAAGAGAAAGAAGAAGAATAGGAAGAGGAAGAAAAAAAGAGACCAGAAGGCCAGCAGCCCATTCTTCTTCCTTTTTTCTTTTTTCTTTTTTTTTTTGGAGGGGGAAGGGGGGTGGTACGGCTCCTCGGATGGGTACGGTGCCCCCTTGATATGTCACTGTAGAACAATCATATGAAATCTAGCAAAGTAATGGGAATATAGAATATAAAAATAGTAAACATAAAACGACAGGAATGTCTAAATTTAGATAATTTTTTTTGTCGTTGTCGCTTGATACAGGCTTAGGAGTGAAAACATGATTAATAGGGACCTATATTATAAGCTTATCATGTGCTTTAAAGGCCCACTGCACTACTTGTAGCTACTTGCACCCTCTATATAACAAACAATGCCTAATCGGTGACCATTGGTCCCCCATGATCCTCTTTTTCTTATGTTAATTGAGAGCTGAGTTGATGAGATAACCACCTGTCCAGTGACCTTGCAGGACGGTCTAATCCCCCTGTAAACTACGGCAGATAAGCTTTAAAAGGTCCGGCAAAAGGTTTGTCTATTTGAGGTGTTTACTTAATGAATACTGCTTCAGATATGATACTGACAGGGGCGTACGCAGGATTTTTTTTTTGAGGGGGGGGGGGGGGGCTAAATTTGAAAATCGCGCCGAAAATTTCGCAACGACTCAGCCAGCCGCTGAATAAGTTGGGGGGGGGGGGGGTAAGAGCACTTTTTTGTTGTTGTAATTTAACAAAAATTTGAGGAGGGGGGTTCCTTCAAAACACACATATACACACAAATTGAGGGGGTTCGACCCCCCCCCCCCCCCCCCCCCCCCCCCCCCCCCTGCGTACGCGCCTGCACACTGATCACCCCTATATACAGTTATCAAATATAATCTGCGTTCACAGAACGATAAAACATTACTTCAAATGCAAATCCCACCACAAACACCAAAGCGTGCAGCCGAACGCTCATTCTCACGTACATACAGACAGGACCCGGCTAACTGGAAAAACTCGTACCACAACATCTCCGCCTATACACATAAGGCGCATTTATACTGTCAAATACCTCATTTTGAAAAGTTAGAAGACACTTTCAAAAATAAGCTTAAAACCCAACTCTTCCCATTACGTAATTAAGTCAGGTGTGTATTGCTGGTGTGCGTAAGAGAGGTTTTAATACTATTAACACCTCTCGATCTAGCTCCCAACAGGACATTTCTGCATTACTATTATTATGTCCTTATCTTTTATATGAATATTATGTTTACTGCTAAGTTCTATATGCCTGTATATTGTGTTATTCTTCAAGAGCATTTGGTAGTATCAGTGCTCTGATCAGTATTCTTAAATTGTTACCTTACCTTGTTATCTTATGTCTGATAATTTCACTTTTGTTCTCCTGTCTCTTCTCTCGTTTAGTTTTACTTGCATCAAAACTGTAAAGTGCTTTGATATAAATCTTTCATGAAAAACGCTCATATGTTATTATTATGTAAAAAAAAAAACGCTCAATAAGAATCAATCATTATTATGTGTACCATACAGACAGAGTCATTGTTTATCAAGTTCAATCGGTCACTAGAGGTCCTTTGTACTTTGTGCTCAAGAAGAACATAATATTTTGACATTGGTCACATGAGTGAATGACATGCCATAAAGTACTGTAGGACTCGAAACCAATTGTCAAAGAAGCTATTAGCAAAACAAATTTCCCCTGTAATGTAATATTTTATTTGTTTGTTTGTTAATTCTAAGAGGACTTTCTGTTTACAAGAAGAGATATGAAGAGGGAAGGCTCGCGAAAACGAGAGAGAAGAATTTTTTTTTTTTTAAATACTGAAAAAGGAGAGTGAAAGAGAGAGAGAGGGGGGGGGGAGAGAGAAAGAGAGAGAGAGAGAAATAGAGAGAGATAAGGGAGAGAGAGAGAGAGAGAGAGAGAGAAAGAAAGAAAGAGAGAAGGAAGGAAAGAGTGGTGAGAGATGTAGAAAGTGAATTCAAATCGTCCTACTTTTATTTTAACAGAACCCAAGGAAAGGGTGACCATGTTCATTTTGAGGCCGGGTTTATCTCTACATAATATTATATATCGCATTCATTCAAAAGTGCACAAAATGTGCCTCCTTCGATAAAACGGCAGTGCATGACGCCTCCCGGGTGCATGCTGCTTTATTGTTATTAATATGACCTTTTTTGGTCTCGCTTGAGCTAAAGGATTTGGGTCATTCACCTAAAATCTTTATCATGATCAATGTAGGCCTAATCTCGAAGGAGAGCTAGTTAATGATAAAAACATCAGAGAGTCTGCAAATTTACAGAACGAAACATAAAGTCTACGGACCTGGTGAAACCATCAGAAGAATTTTTAAAAACGTGCTAGATCAAAAGTCAATAAAGTTTGTGAGAAAAAAAGGGAGAAACGCAAGACTATTCATATCATATCCATATCATATCTTGATATATATATTAATACATTTACTTAATCTTCTACGGAGGTTTTTTGGTACAGTAGTGGTTCATTCACCCGACGTAATTCCATGGTGATATAGGTTCGAACGTCCTTCGGCCATTATCAACCCAGGTGTTAATGGGTCCTCAGTATGCAGAGTCAATTCGTCCCTATTTTCACGAAGTGACGGTAGTGAGGAAAATTGTAACGCAAAGTGTATGCGATTTTCATTCACTACCGTCACTTCGTGAAAATAGAGACGAATTAGTGTGGTCTCTCGGACATCCCAGTGACGAAAAAAGTTACACGAGAAACACAAAACGCACTCAACGGTATCACATTTATTTCATTCTCTTCTTTTTATTCAAAACGTTACTTTACAACATTATTTGACTTTTAAAACTGCGTCATTGCAATTGAGAATGTCAATAGATTATCTTAGATTTTACAATAGATTACATTAGATTTTACAAGTAAAATGAAATCAGTGTCATGACCCCGTTCAGTGCTAGCAACTTAAACATGGTAAAAGACGCTGTCCAATGATATTTAAATAAAGGATTCCTCCTCTATAAATTAAAAATATAGTCGTGTAGGTTCTTATATTTCAGAACTTTTGAAAAACGAAAAATGGAAAATATTCAGCCCAATCGATCAGTAGGCTACTTTCAGCAATAAAATAAATTAAGGTTCTTGACTGTTAATGTTTGGTCACAACTAACAAGGTAGCATCTGTGCCTGCTAAATCGAAGAGAAGTGGTATCGCATGTTGCTTATATAATACACCTTATAGACCTCTACAATGTATTTTTGACTATACTGTCATTCCAAATGTAAAATGGTACAACTGTAATGGTCCAACATCTTAACAAAAACATTACTGTAGACGCCCTTTAATGCAAAAAAAAATCATGAAGAATATTTGAGTGAGCCTGCTTAAATGTGAACATTGGGGTATCGACTTGCATTATAGAGTCGCGTGCAGCAGACCAACTTTGGTATCGTAAATAAATAAGGGTTAAATTAACTGCGCCAACAAAAGGGTATTTTATTTTTATAGGTCGTTAAAAGCAGCTGCACGAACTGTAAGCTAAACTAGGGTGGTTGTCATAGGGGTATTTTTCCTGGAGGTTAGTTGACTGGGGGTGGTTATCCGGGGGAAGATGTCCGGGGGGGGGGGGAGGTGTCCTAGAACCGGCAATTAGATGTGTCCACTGGAACGAACGGTTCATGTTTTCGTGGCGAGCATCAGTCCAATAAACCATGGGCCTGCATAAACCCAGGATCCTTTTGGGATTAGAGTGCCGGGAAATGGGAGCACCAATGAACTCTTGTAGTAATAAAGCATCTGAACTTCAGTTTTATAGTGTTTTTGTTTGGTTGCTGATGTACGACGTCTGTTTCTTGCCGAAATGACTATAGTAACCATTTTGCATCATATTCCAGAATGATAGACAAAGAATGGTCTGCGGTGCGAATCGAAACCAAGAGGCCGACCAACCTTTGTAAAAGCCCACTGGCCCCTCCCTTCGCCATATCTTCAAAGCACAATCCCACAAACCCCGGTAGTACAACCCTCTCCCTGTGCGAGCATCCACTCCTTGATTGTATATTCGGATACTGATGACGTCAACAGGTGTCACAAACACGACGATGGCGACGCTCGCCACCATGCTGGAGGTGATTGGGATGTAGAGGCTGCTGGGCACAAAAATCTAACGACACAGATATTGAAAAGTGTTAAGCAAATTGCAAAATAAGGGATATCCAGAGGATATAATTCCTAAGAAAACATGGGCTCTTCTTCTTCTTCTTCTTCCTCGTTAAATGCTACTTCATGCATGCAACGAAGATTACGCATTTCTATATAAACATTAAGAACAGGGAGGGGTGACATTTCAATCAGCATGTACCTAATATGTAAACCTATGCATGAAGGCATAGGCATTCGTCAGGCGAATTGTGACATTCTTATGGATGACGTTATCTGTTACCTTCTCTACGTCTTTGCCCACCTTTTCAGAGAACCCACTTTGACCCGGCCCTTCTATATAGTGACGCCTCATCAGGGTCAGATTTGTTTTGTGTTAGGAAACTTCATGAAAATCTTGGAACCGCTACTGATTTGATGTACCGATTTAATGCACGGATATTATCCAACATTAATTTCAGAAAAAAATATTGTAATTACTTTGATGATTTCTGTCTTACCTCTTTTTCGGTGAGAAAATCTCTTGTGAGAACAAACGCCGTCAGTTGGGAAGCTGATCCGATCACATTGCGTACAGTCTGAGCGTGAACCCCTCGCCATAAACCCTTAATACCGCCCTCTACGTAGATCCTCTTCAAACCTTGCAACCAGCCTGAGTGGGTATGCTGATGTCCCACGGCTATGACTTCATGTGACTGGGATTGTAGTTGAGTCTTAATCTGCCAAGGTGAAAATGATTTCGAATTATATGGCTGAAATGAAATTGACATGATATTTACTCTGATAGTCGTTAAATCAATGCATTTTATAACAGAAACAAATTTGTCTTACAGATGGAAGAAACTATCATTCACATATATGTGAAATTGTTTTGTCAAATAACAATTTGTTATAATAATAAAAATGAGCATGTTAAAGCCTTAAGGATGACTTGCATCTTAAAGCTTTCATTTCTATATTTCACTGTCTATCATGCCTATTGATGACATAGATAATTATTATAGAAGAAGGCAGGGGGCAAAGAAGTGCCCCCCCCCCCCCCCCCCATTGAGTTGTAGAAAGAGAAGAGAAAAACAAGAAAGGGAAAGGATAGAGATTAATGTGGGGGGGGGGTTCTCATTTCGTTTACTTAGTATTCTATTGTACAGCACTGGAATGATGCCACTAGGCCTAGCTGGTAAGGTCATGTATCATGAGATTATTAGGTGTACGTATAATATCGAAGGGGTATGAACACATAGTAATGTAATCGCGGCGGCCAGTGCATTCCAAGAATAAATCGTACCACTTACTCCACCTGGGTCGAGTTTGGCAAATGTACATGAATGTCTTGCCAAAGGACACTAGCTCTGCCTGGTGCAGGAATTCGAATCCCGTATACTTGTGGTTTAAAGCCCGAAGCCCAGAGAGTGTCATGGTCGAGTGGTTGAAGGCGCTTGACTTGGAGATGCGAAGGTCGATGGTTCGAATCCCGACACGAAACTATCTTTTGGCAAGATATTAACCTGCACTTGCTACTCTCCACCCAAGTGTTAAATGGGTATCCAGTAGCGACCGTCATTGTTGGTCAAACTGCTTTTGAGCGTCATGTAACGCTGACTGAAATGCTCCCCAGGGAGTGGAAATTGTGCACACATTGTGTGCGGGCAAGTATTGAATCAAATGACCCTGGTAATAGTATATCTGCAAAGCGCTTAGAGACAAAAGCGGAATTATTATTATTATTATTATCTCTCAGACCACAACATCTCAGGGACATCGAACCACGCAGTGTGTGGTTCACCGTCAGTCTGGATAATGTATCCACTCCTGACTAGACCAAACACCATAACAGTACGCCATTTTAGCCGTAAGGCTTATCACTGCTATTAAAGTATACTCACAAGGAACAGAGGACTGCTGATCAAAGCTCCTACATAACCACCCACTCCGGCAGCACAGATGGTCCTAGGAAGGCTTTTCTCACCGGCAAGATTCTTCGTTAGTCCCATGTCCACTAAAATCTGGTAGGTTCCAAGTCTCGTACCGTTCTGAATCGCCGTATAGACAAGTGCTGGTGGCAGCCCAGCCTGCAGGGCCAGGAGACCGTCATACCGACCGATGGTGTAGAAGGCATGGAAGACATTCCTGTAGTGACGCTGGTAGGTGCCCCATGCCTTCAGCTCTCCCTGTAGCTGGAACCGAGTCTTGACGACTTCTAGTGGGTTAGTGAACAGGACTGCACAAGCGGCTGCAGCGCCACCAAGGCAAAACTCCACCCCAGCAACAGGCATTATACACAAAATGTTTAAAATATGTCAAATATAATTGAAGGGTTTATAGCATGTAAAGATTGCAAACTTCGTGTTGATTAAATGCCCTTATTTAGGGAGGTCAGAAAGTTCCTGCGAAATATACATAATAGGTACATCCGTAGACTTTGTACTTCCCAGTGTCATAATCACTCAGGAACGGTATTATCTCTAAGATTTTATAATGCAGGACAGGTTCACAATCTCATGACATTGGACTCGAATCCTTGAGGTTTATGATCTCATGAAAAGATTAACTCAGATAAACCTACAATGCAGCAACCTTTTACACTTTGTTTTGCATAATGCTATCATGTAGGAAATCATGGAGGTACAAAGAGAGAAAAAAGAGCTGTCCAAATGTTTATTTTGGACACCCTCCAGAGTACACGAAGCCTCTATGACATAAGTATAATTACTCTAGCCCTGCTAACGAGAAGAAAACCCCAGTCTCACCAACAAGAACGATAACAAACCAAGGAAAGAACCACAGTGCTCTGAATGGCCCAAACCCAGTCGGTTTGGAAGTGTGACAGGAGTGTATCATAAAGAAACTAAAGTTGTTATTCATACGCGTTGTTCTACGAAATTTTCATTTTGCGTTTACTCAAAAACATACAAATTATATATATCGGTATTATATGTTACAGTGAATCTCCGTTCTCTCTCTCCCTCCCTCTCTCCCTATCTCTCTCTCACCTCTCGCCACCCCCTCTCTCTCTATCTCTCCCTAGCCATTAATGTAATTCATGAGAACCCCCCCCCCCCCCCAAAAAAAGGCGACACAGGTGTGCGTAATAAAAAGAATTGAGCAAAAACAGGGAAATGCCCCTTCGTATGCCCCACCTTTTTCGAAAATAGTCTCAAATGAAGACCCCATTCATACAGTCAATTACAAATATTATATGTATCGTCACTGTATCATTATGACAGCTTGCACGAATTATAGCTTCATAGCAATAAGAATGGAAAAGAACTGAAATATTGGAGACAGAAACGCAATGTCGGAAAGACAGATGTTATGTAATACATAATGAACAAGGAACAAAGTTTGGAATAACTAGGCCCTTAGACATACACAAATATAAACATACATGTAATTATTCTGATGATTATTAAAAAACTGACATGTAATAAGTCTCCAGAGCTTTCTTCATTTGAACACGAAAATCATCCCTGAGGTGAAAATAAAAAAGGTTTTCATAATACAAAAAAAAAGAATAGCACAGTCATGGTAAAACCGGGTGAAATGGAAGAGAAATGAGAGAGCGAGAGAGAGAGAGAGAGAGAGAGAGAGAGAGAGAGAGAGAAATAGAGAGAGAGAGAAGAGTAAGAGAGAGCTAGAATGCGAGAGAGAGAGAGAGAGAGAGAGTGAGAGAGGGGGAGAGTAAGAGAGAGAGAGAGCTAGAATGCATGAGGTAGAGAGAGAGAGGGGGAGGGAGAGAGAGAGAGAGAGAGAGAGAGAGAGAGTGAGAGAGTGAGAGAGGGGGAGAGTAAGAGAGAGAGAGAGAGAGCTAGAATGCATGAGGTAGAGAGAGAGAGGGGAGGGAGAGAGAGAGGGAGAGAGAGAAGGGGGGTACGGTGAAGGGAGGGTGAGAGCGCCTCGGGTAACTAGGAAAACATGCAAAACTACGTATTTTAAAGGTTCCTTTAATTGTTACTGTAAACTCTGCTAACATTTTATAGATTGTGATACACTGGCAAGAAGGACAAATCCTTAAACGTGTTTTAATTGCCATTATCCAATTATTTAAGAAAATCCTTACTGCTGATACTATGCCCTTGATAAATTGTTTGAGCACCTTTGAGTGTGATTCAATCGCACATAGGCACAACAATCCATGGAGATATTTACTGTTGTTAAGGATTTTAAAGAAAGAATTTTCCATTCGTAAGGTTCTTTTCCATTATGTTGCACAATAATATAAAGCACAGCGCTGACTTGTTGTCAGAGCAACTGTAACCAGGGGCGTGAGTCGTACAACCATACAACCGACAGTCAACAATTTGCGCGCGTGGCACCCCTGTTCAGCAAAATATTTAGCATGGATTAATAAGCTTAACTCTTTATTCACAACAAAATTGAAAGAGGTGATAAGTACGATGCGCAATATTTGCAAACATCTGCCTTTTATGATAAAGCAGTTTTATTAAAGCAAGAAATTGTAAATTTCGCCAACATCTACACAGTCAATTGACATCAGCTTCATGATTTACAAAAATGGCAAGTACTTTTTTGACAATCCGATTGTAATTGTAGTGGAGATAGTGGATATTGCGTTTCTCTTTTCTCCTTGCATCTGGTTGAGCAGCAGACACTGTGTAGCATTTCCATGTATAAACATAGATTGTGCATTTCAATCGACTTTCAGGACTCGTTGCCTTTCAAAACGAATACTGATGAAAATGACGATAATGGTAATGATAATTATTGTAAAGATGACGATGATCGTTATGACGACGGTGACGATGATAATGCTTATAATACTGATGAGAATGATGATGATGATGAAGTAATGCTGATGATAATGACGATGGTGATAATGATTATGAATAAGATGATAATGATGGTTATGACGATGGTGATTATGATTATGAATAAGATGAAAATGATGGTTATGACGATGGTGATGATGATTATAAATAAGATGATAATGATGATGATGATGAAGTAATGCTGATGATAATGACGTTGGTGATGATGATTATGAATAAGATGATAATGATGGGTATGACGATGGTGATGATGATTATGAATAAAATGATAATGATGGTTATGACGATGATGGTGATGATGCAAGGCATATGACGATGGTGGCTCTGATGGATGGATTATAATAATAATAATAATGGTGAAGATGATGATGATGATATTAATGATACTGATTATGAATAAGATGACGTTAATGATGATGATGGAGATGATAATAAGGATGGTGATGGTCATGATACTTTACTCTCTTGTTCCCATTTTATTTATAGACTTTTGATCAGAGGCTTCATTTGACATTCATGCTTAGCCTGACAGCCTGTTTGTCTTTCGGTATGTATTTCTTGATTAGAACTCAAAACTACGATACATTGAGTACAACATCTTTATGAGAGGTATCTTAGTAGAATTTGGGAATCCTTATATTCGGGTGGTACTACTGTATATTCAGGATTAAAGAATTATTCTAGGAGCATTAATTTTTCTAATTCTTCTCTTATTTGAGTAGAGTAAACATGATAAATATAATTTAAATTGTTTCAATAATGACAAAATATATCTTTTCGTTCAAGCATAACATACATGCAGAAGAACTTACAAACGCCTCGTACTTAATTGATATTAGTCTGCGTAATTCAATGCATCAAACACAGTAGAGTACATACTCTTATATGGTAGGCAAGAGTGGTGAAGTGTGACGTCATCAAAAATCTATTTTTAGAATTTCTCAATTTTGTCTTCATATTCCGAAAGAACATCAAAAATAATGTCCAAATGTCGAAAACCAATTGAATATGTTAATTATTGGCTGAGATATGACCATCTGAATGAATATATGTCCTATGTGAACTCAGTGTTATATGCTCTGGCAGCTAACCATTAGGAGCCAGAGCATATAACACTGAGTTCCTATGGGGAGTATATTTATTCAGATGGTCATTTCTCAGCCAATAATTAACATATTCAATTGGTTTTCGACATTTGGACATTATTTTTGATGTTCTTTCAGAATATGAAGAAAAAATTGAGAAATTCTCAAAATTGATTTTTATGACGTCACAGCATCGGTACTCTTATGGCGGATGTCACCATGGACCTACAAGAGAGGTTCATAATGTCACCAAAGAAGAAAATGAAACCGAAGCCACACTTACTTTGCAAAAGATTTATTTTGGGTGCTTTTGTTTTTTAGGACTTCGAAAAATTTGGATGTTCTCTTTTTTGCTTCTATTCAAACATGTTAAATTACATGTTTTTGTTTCCTTGTAAATCTTACTTTCAGCTTTGCTCGTGTCGTCATCAGATGCTAGCAATGGAACAAAGACATGTTGTACGGATGGATTAGGCCTGAATTACAGCTTACCCATGTTTCATGAATGTAAGAAGAAACTACACCCTAATGGCAGTATGGTACAGACTATCCCAAAGCTCATCCCTATTTCGACTGCAGGTGGTCGATGTCCTACAAGGACTGGTACCAGAGGAATCCCCGCTGGTCATAGAGTCTGCAGATTTCCAGGTAAAATCGATGATCCGTATTCGACTAATTCAGTTAAACCAGCTGCGTCTAAGATCACCTTTAATGGCGAGAAAACTTAAGCATGAGACTAACTTCCGTTCTCACACCAGATTGTTAACATAAGCTTAAAAAAAAGCGAGATTCGGGTTTGAATTTGAGTACATTAACCGCCCAATAATTTCATATAATGTAAATATTCTTAACATTGAATAATTTCAATATCAATCGGGAACATTCACACCTAAGTATATACTGACGGTGTATAGAGCATTGCAAAATAATAAATTGATCTGCTTTTAATCCGTAACCTGCATAGGGCTTTGCCTTTTTGTCCCACGCCCGGACCGCGTTGTTTTGTTATGCGGCACAGATTTGGGTTAGGAGTGTTGAGCCTATAGGAAAGTTTAGGGTTAGGGTTAGGGTTAAATCAAGACCTCTTTTTAAAAAAAAGCCCCAATCTGTGCCGCAGAAAAAAATGACGCGCCCGGACCGATTCCCTAAGTTGAAAATAAAAACAGAGATAAAATATAAGGCAAATGCTCTGGAAAAACCTAATGGCAAATCGTCCCAACAGAAATAATCTATTTGAATCTCTATACCATTAAAAATAAACACCAAACTATTGTTCTTTACTAAAATGTTCAATTGAAATTTATGTAGTGGATCTAGTGTCTGACAAATTAAGCTAAGATGGCTACCCTCTCCTATTATGCCTTTCTGAGCATTCCTCTCCCTCTCAATACAAAACATTCACCTGCCTAAGTTATTCAAACCACTCCGCCACTCCGCTATTACGTAATCTTAAAATGTCAATGTCAACGTTTACTTTGTCTACAAAAAAAATTGCATTTGCTGTTTACTATCATTAATATAATCTTTGATCGG